CCACCAACCCAAAAGCAAGAATGTCATCAGACCTGTAGAACTCCCCGATCTCATAGTGCTATGTCTGCCTCTCTGTAGAACTCCCCCAATCTCCTAATGCTGTGTCTGCCTGATATACCCACCAACTTGCCTTGATTTATGTCTTTCTATGATCTCTACGACTATAAGACCACACGAAATTGCTTCCATGTTGGAACATAGAATTTGGGGTAACCTAAAATCTCTGTTCACAGGTTATGGGCACTCAAAATGGCTTCAGAATAAACTCTCTCTTGTTCCCTGTGGTTCTCACAGTTTAACCAGCCAGACCCCATCAATTACTCTGTAGCCCCGGACCTGCCTCCATCTGCACTCAGTGCCCCTTGCAGCTGGCTCCCAACTGCCGGGATAGGGTCTCTCAGAAGCAGCATGTTAATAAGTAAGTATATTTGTTTATAAATAAGTATGTGTTTTGCTGGGTTTTTTGTTTTGTTGTTTTGGAAGCTGAGCCCCTCGGTGGAGGACGATCACACACTGCGCTCTGGCACCAATTCAGAAGCAGCACACGAAAGGACACCCTCCCTACTGCTCTACCCCGCTAGTGAGGTTCAAGCACTCTTAGCCATTTCACTTAGATCTGATCTCCTTCGGCTTCCAGTAACTGCTGCATGTTCAGCGGAGGCATATCCTAAGTCCCTCAGGATGGAGTTAGCAACAAACGAGTGTGTTTCACACTTATCGATGGTTCTTCCAGAGAAGTCTGAGTCCCACGCCTCAATTCAGAAATCCAGACACCTCTCTTGATCTTGTGGCTGCTATCACCCAGAGGAAGCCCAGTGCTCACACTGCAGCCGCTCCAGCCAAGGTGTGCTCACTCTCGCTAGTGGAGCATGTCCTGACCGCCTCTGAGACTCACCAGACCATGTCTTCAAGAAGATTCCCCACAGAAACAAGAATTAGAACAGTTTCCAAGAGCCACGAACGGCAGCAGAGAGGCACAGTGCCACAGGCAAAGCAGGTCTTGTCTTTGTGCAAATGAAGTTGTTTTTGTAACAAGCAGCAGGCATGGGTTTGCAGAACCCACAAACAAGCACAGCTGGTTTCCTTCACTATAGTGTCACCTCCCCCCCCAAGCCAAACCACCGCAGGAGGTGGAGAAAGGACAGGAGTCCTCAGGAGAGACTGGACTGTCAAGCTAACGTGGTGAGCTAGGGATGGTGATGAGCTGGAGGTGTTTGCAAGAGTGTCATGAAGGCAAGTGGCCATCTTCAGCAGGCAGCGACTATTCTTATTGTGATGGCTAGTCTTATCAACTTGACATCCTGCGGAAGTGATCCCTAACTAAAGAATTATCTCCATTGCACCGGCCTGCAGACAAATCTGGAGTATTTTTAGAAATTGCTAATTGATGAGGAGAGTCTGGCTCACTGTGGGCAATGCCATCCCTATGCAGTTGGGCCTAAGCTGTATAACAAATTGGCTGAACAGGCTGGGGCAGCAGGAGCCAGTCAGCAGTGTTTCTTCCTGTTCTCTGCTTCAGTTCCTCCTTGGCTTCCCTTGATGATGGACTGTTACCTGTAAACAGAATAAATCCTCCCCTCCCACCTGCTACTTTTAGCTAGTTGTTTTTTTTTGTGTGTGTGTGTGTGTGTGTGTGTGTGTGTGTGAGAGAGAGAGAGAGAGAGAGAGAGAGAGAGAGAGAGAGAGAGAGAGAGAGAGAGCCTGTCCAGGAACTAGTTCTTGTAGACCAGACTGGCCTCGAACTCACGGAGATCCGCCTGCCTCTGCCTCCCAAGTGCTGGGATTAGCTAGTGTTTCATCATAGCAATAGAGAAGCAAACTAGGACAAGCTGTAGGAAATCCTACAGCCAGTAGCCTTTAAGTACCCGCCCACTTGGGCGTGGCCTCCCATTCTATAAATACTGATGTAAAGGTGCATCTGGCCTCTCTGGGCTGCGGGATTCCTTTACAGTTCCCAGGTTGGGTGGAGGACTGAAATCTGTGAGTACCCCTAAATAAATTATATATCTATTATACTCAATTCTGAGCTAGCGTGGCATTTAAGCGCCCGTCTTCAAGGACATATACTTTACACTTAAATACAGGTGTTTTTGACTTGAAATAGAACATGGGTTTATCATCCAGTCCTTCCCTCCTCCACCACAGACCCAGCGATAACTACCACGCCCTGCCTAACCATTTTTTAAGTAATTTAAGTTTACTAGCTTGTTCAGTTTTCCAGGAAATGAGGGGACTGGTTTGAACTATTAGGCTGCTTCAACTGGCAAGTTGAAATACCACAAAGGCATTTATAGGACACCGTGTATATGAGAAAGCTAATAAGACAGGGGAGGCAGCTTATCAATTTAGAAACTTCACAAAGATCTGCTTGGTAAACAAGGGGGGGTGTCTCAACGTGTGAGCCACATTCACTATGCTGAGTGCCTTATGTTTGCAAAGATGCAACTTTATCTGTGGACACAGGACAAAGCTGCACAGTACTGGGGCCTGACCCCGTGTGCAAGTAAGCAACTAACACCTACCAGAGCCTGTTGTGGTTCCTAACAGATTGTCCTCTTGTTTTGCAACAGGTGGCAGTTAGGATTCAAACCCAAGGAATCAGATTTTCCTTTCCAATGGTGCTGCGCTCCATGGGAAAGGGCACTAGGGGAAGGGGAAGGGTGTGACTGAGGGATGTGGAGACTAGGGCAGTGGGCAGAAACAGTGCCCTAATTTGTGCTTTTGCCGGGTGTAAGTGATCTTTTCCCACTTTGGGTTGTTTGCTATTCAGAACTGGAGGACGAGAGAAGCACAAAGTCCACACCGCACATCTGGAAACCTGGGCAGGACAGGTTTGCCTGACCTCATCACCAGAAATCCAATTATTTAAATTCTGCCTTTCTTTTTATGTGCCTAGATGTTTTTGTCTGTGAGAATCTCTCTCCACCACATGCTTGCAGTACCCAAGGAGGCCAGAAGAGGAAGTCAGATACCTTGGGAATACAGTTACAGACAACTACCACGTGGGTGTTGAGAATCAAACCCAGAATTAAATTGAATAATAAACTCAAAAATATACTTTACTAATTTCTGAGTAGTGATGAACCCAAAGACCATAAACTAAAGCCTGTTTCACTATCTACACCTTATCCAGAAAAATAGCTAGAGAAGCCCGGTCCTGGTAGTACACTCAACTCTATCTGTACTGGCTGCATTTAGCAGCTAAATTTTAGTGACTAGTAATCCTGAATTACTCATCCTACCTGCACGTATAAAGCCACAAAACAAAGGAACTGTAAACCCCCTCTCCAATCACACTTACCATGCAGCAGGTGCCTCAAGGTAGGGTTTCTCACATGATATCAACATGCAGATCAATGCATGCAGACTAATCTGCAGACCTGACAAGACCCCGCTGTCCATGCAACTCTGTATCCTCCTGCTGGCACCCTCAAGCTCAGGTACTTAAGACATGCATTAAGCTCCTACCCTGTGCATCCTCCCAACTGAGGGAAAATGTGGAAGAGGCAGGGGTGCTAGGATAGTAAATAAAGTAATTCCACACATGAAGACATTCTTCTATTTTACATTTTATTGCATTATGAAAAATAGTACATTTATTTGGCAAAGTGATCTAGGCTTCAAGTTGAAATAAAGGAGAATTCTGGTGTCCGGATTAATTTTAAATGTGAAATATATGTATTCTAGCCAATACATACTAGCATCCTTGTTAGGCCAATAACTCAGTCAAGCTAATTTTCATAATTCCATATGAATTTACAAGGTGTTTTTGCATCCATTCATCTTATGGTTAGCATAAAACTCAAGAACTGACCTTCATTTTTGTCAAAACCAATAGATCTCCGAAACTCCTGCTCAGAAGACAATTTGAAACACTACTCAAAATAATTTGCTTTGGCTCTGCAGGTACATTTCCGTCCTCTCAGTACAGTTTTCACATTCAACCATTGCAGCAGCTTTAGGCTCTGCCCAAGTACCATTAAGTAAACTAGTACATTACATACATTATTTGAAAGTTGATTTTACAAATGCATAAATACATGCCTATCTACACTGCAAAATAAAACCCTGAACCTCAATGCTCTAACAGGCAAGCCAGACTTTGATCCAGACTTCTGGGACAGCTTTCCCAAGCCAGGGTATAGCTCCCTGACTAATTCCATTGCCCTGGCCTCATGTGGGAAAGGCTGTAGTTGTGACAAGCAGTAAGTGGATTGAGTTTAATCAAAACTCAAAATGTATTTTGACTACTCACTTCTGTTTTGCCACATTCTCAGAAATGAAAAGACATTTTTCAAAAATGTTCACTTTTTAAAAGGGGAAAAAGGCAAAAACAAGTCACATGTATACTGTTTCCTCATTGGCATCACCCAATTACTGTCCAAGGTTGGGAATGGAGAAATGGATTAAGAAGTCCTTCAATTATCAGAGGGCCAGCTACTTCAGTCATCAAAGCCTTGATGCTTCTGGATCTTCCCATAGGACTCTGCTGGGTACATCAAGGAAATATGCCTAAAACTTGCCCTTTGAACATACAAATGACTCAGTTCATGTTAGAACTGATGCTTTCTTTGCATCTAACACTTGTGAAAATGGGCTTCCAAGGGGCAATGCATCTGCAGCCTGCTGAATGGCTTCCCAATGTACTGAGTACTGCAGCTGCCCGAGACCCTCCACCAGTATCCTACATGAATCTGTATAAACAGCAACAACTTTCATCTATGATCAACATAGGCATCGCTAATAAATATTAAAACTATTAAACTATAGGTTAAAATGCAGACCTCTCATAGAATTGAGTGATGTGATTTTGGTACATTCACCATTATTGTACTTTATTTAATAAAGAAATACATTTTCCCTTGCAAAGATAGCAATTGCAAGTTTACAAATAAAACCACAGACCTCCACTCATGATGCTAAATCTTCAACTTTTAACCAGCAGCAAACTGATTTGTTTACAAATGGTCCGTGGCACCACAAAGAAAGACTATCAAAGGTCACAGGAGCTTAGAGAACAGGTTTATTGACAACAATCTCATAAATACCCTAAGGAAAAAAATCTCAAAGTTTCTAAACCTAAAATATTTAAAATATGCTCTCACTGGCAATCCCTCAACAAAATAGAGTAACAGGTCACTACACATAAATGTCACATTCAAAATCTGCTTCATTTTAACATTTTTGCCAATTTTTAAAAAATTACACTTGACTTTTTACCCCTTTTGGGTGCAATTAAATCAACATTCAATTTTTTTACAGATCCATAAATATATTGTCTAGCTGTTGTGAACCTGTAGGCTGTAAGTCAGTAGTATATTACTCTATGAACAAACTGAGCCAAAATATCTTTATTTTTAGGCATAGTAATGTCTAAGTAGTCAAAATGCAAACGTTGTGGTTTCACTCCAAATCCCCCAAAGCTTATGATACAGTGTGAGAAATTGTTTGCATCTACTACAAGTCCATCTGTGTACCTCAGGTGTCTGAAACTAAAAAAGGGTTCTTTAGTATTTTGATAAAAATGTACTCGAATATTTCATAACATTAATATTTATTGCTTTATATGAATACTGTATTGAAAGCCCAAGCATTCAGTTTACACACGAAATTATACAATTATACCGCTTCACAAAGGCAGTGAACACATTACAGTCTACAAAATCTACTTTACAGAAATTTAAAAATTCTAAATATCAAAAGGTACAGCTGAAGAAACAGGTATAAATTTGGCAGCCAGTAATTTTGACAGGGAGTTGCAGCTTGCATGACTTTAAATACGTGACTTTGAAAATAGTGAGTTTAGAGTAGTAACCATTGTGCTTTGTGTTGATCTGAAAAATAGAACACTGGCTGTCGAAGAAGCATGTTCAAAAATATTAATTCACTTCAAAATGTTATACAAATCATGGTGGTTTCTGTGTATCCCTAAAGCTCTAGTCATTTTAGCTCAGGTACATTACTGAAATAATCCACGAATTCTTCCAGTAGTACAGTGCTGTTTCACACCAGTACCATGTGCATATAAGGTAATTTAGACAGAAAGGTGTAATGTTCACAATGTTCAGAAAAGCAAGTGAAACGTTACAGGACCTGTGGGCTCTTTTGAGATGGTTTCCTGTCAGGCTCCTAAGCACTCGTCCAACCAAATGGTGAGCTAATGCTCCCACACAACTCCCAAGATAAAGGACATTTTCTCATAAATAACCAAGTCTTTTTTTTTTTTTCAGGCACCGTAGAAGTATACAAAAGAATTTTAGTTTGCACAGATCTCTTGGAATGTGTTTAACCTGGTATTTCAACAGACTTAAAGATTCCCAGGGTTTTCCAGGGGCCAGATTTTATCTCAATTACTCAGAAGAAAAGAAAATGTCTTCTTAAAGAAGTGAACTCAGTCATTACCAATAAAAAAGTATCCACTGTATTCATCTCTTATAGAAACAGAAAAATATAACATCCCCCTTAGAATAATCTATATATGTATATATGACTTAAAGTCCCATTGTACAGTTGAACAATAAAATCTGAAACCACATGAAACCCTATAATTCACATGTTAACATGTTCAAACTATGACTGAAATATGGAAACTGCTAGAGACAAGACAAAATCTTCCTTGCGCATGTATAAACCAAATGTGATTATCTTTAAAAAGTTTTCAAAATTATAATTATCTTCCAGTTTAAAAACTTTAATTCTAAATTAAAAAAAAAATCTATACACAAACCACTGATTTGAGTACACCAGGAAAAAAAAAAAAAAAACAAACAAACAAAAACCCAACAAAAACAAGAAAATCGGCAATAAGCAGGACCCAGAGGAGCCAGTATTCACAGCTCTTCCACGCACAACTGTCAGGGTTTATTCTTAAGGTTCTTTATTTTACAGCCTGTTTCTCTTGTAAAACTAAAGGTCCATTTATTACTTAAAAGTTCTCTACAGTGTAAAACCAGAACTGTATGTAAAATACTGCCTCTAAGTGTTTCTAAGTAGTTAAGTCTTGTTCCATTGGTTCGTCTGTGACGTCTGTGGTTTCGTCACTCTCCATGGATGACACGGAGACACTTTCTCCCGTTTTCCTGGAAGCGGACCCTGCTGACTCTTCTGTCTCAGGGTAGTCAGAACCACTACTCACAGCCCCTGCACTGTCACTCCGTTCCAAGCGAGGATCTCTCTGAGCTGCAGACCCGTCAGAGTCCTCCATGTGAGTATCCTCCTCTGAAAGCTCTTCATTCACAGCTAAAGCATCATCAGATTCTTTTTCTTGATTTTTTCTTTCTGGGACCATTTCTCGTGGTGTCATAAAAGATTCTAGAAATAAGCAAATTTTATAGTTAAAATTTACTTTCAAATTACACGCAGTTGTTTTATAAAATCAGTTATCTACGGCTTGTAACTTCTCAAACTTAGTAACACTCAGGCGGTACAAGAGCCCAGTATCACTGCACATACTGGCTTTGTGGGAACCTAGGCTGTTTGGATGCTCACCTTACTAGACCTGGAAGGAGGTGAGAGGTCCTGGGACTTCCCACAGGGCAGGGAACCCTGACTGTTCTTCAGGCTGATGAGGGAGGGGGACTTGATTGGGGGAGGGGGAGGGATATGGGAGGCGGTGGGGAAGAGACAGAAATCTTTAATAAATAAAAAATATATATATGAAAGAAAGAAAGAAAGAAAGAAAGAAAGAAAGAGAGAGAGAGAGAGAGAGAGAGAGAGAGAGAGCGAGAGAGAGAGCCAGCCCAGTATCAGCATGGTAAGGAGAGCCGCAGTATGCTGGGGACTCTCCTCTCACCTTCCTCCTCCTCTTCCTCCTCGTCCTCGTCGTCGTCTGTACAATGTTGCCTGCTGCGATTTTCTCTGTCCTTCTCCGGAGGGGAAGATGCTGTTTCAGCTTCCTCTGCCCTAACTGAGCCTTCACTGGACACCGTCTGGCTAGCTGTCTCTCGGACGTCATCTTCTTTGTCAAACCGTAGCCTTTTCACCTCATGCTCCTCGGCTTCCACAGTATCATCATCTGGGTGTTTATTTTTAACAGGGCTCAGTGAAGAAACTTCTGATTCGGAAGCTGGAGAATCACTGCCGATGGTTTTTAAAGTGTTATTAATAAAATTATTTTCCTTGTAATCTACATTCTCATCTGTAAACTGAAATACTTAAACTGTATTGTCAAATTAGATGGAAGTACCGCTGCTGAGAAAAAACAGAACAACAACCCTAAAGCAATCTGAACTGGTTTATGGATGTTCCCACTGGGACCTACTTGACAAGTTCTACCTTTCTAGGAAATTCTAGAAAAGCTTGTCTACATTCACCATCATCCAGGCTGAAGAGAAGTCATAGCTCCTATAGCCACATTAAGGCCTGTTCTGTCCCTCAGAACAGTAAACAGTGTTCCAGGACCTGTAGGACACGAAGATCCGAAGACCTCAAGCTGCACGTATGAAAAGCACAGGATGTGCACAGAGCCTCCCACCGCTAGGTGAAATAACACCCAAGGCATGTAAACACCATGGGCACAGGGGACAACGTCCATACCTAACCAATACAAAAGCAACCTTTTTCTCAATTACTTTTGATCTTTACTGGTTGAATCTACCAAACCCAGAGACGGAACCCAAGACATAAAAGATCCATGTACCTTGTAAATAGTAAATAGTGCTAAAATAACAGCAACAACCGTTAAATTTCTATGTGCATCTTCCTGTCTCTTTAAATATAAAACACAAACCTGTGGGCTTTCTCTTCATTTGAATGCAGGTCTGACTCTTTGCTATCTGTACTCTCAGGCAAACCATTTGTTGTCAAGGAGGTTGACAAAGAAAGCTTTGGTCGATTAAGTGGCCTTGGTGTTCCAGGTCCATTTATATTAGACCTATAATGAGATAAACAAACATTATTTTCCACTTTTGGAAAAATTATATACCTCTACACACATCACCAGTAAACATCACCCGTTCCAAAGTATACATCACAAGTATGTGCACGAATTCTGGTTTTCAGAGTCTTGTCCTAATTAGCAAATGTAGCCTGGTAGAACCTACAACATAAATCTTGTATCTTCCCCATAAAATGTTCAATTAAAAATAGTATACTGAGCCTGCTACCTCAAGCACTACCAAGAAACTTGGAACATTCTGGATGGTTTACAAAAAACAAACCACAATATTCTCACCTGTCAGTATAGTTTGGTGAGTTTCCAGGAAACATAACACCATTCATTCGGTTTAAGCTATTAGAACTGTTCTTCCTGTAATAAAAGAGAACACTTCAGCTGGGCATGGTGGCACATGACTTTAACCCCAACACTGGGAGGCAGAGGCAAGTACAGATCTGTGTGTTCAAGGCCAGCACTGACAACCCAGCAAGTTCTAGGCCAGCCAGGGTCTCAGAGTGAGATCCTGTCTCAAAATAGAAGAAATACTTCTTGCCAGGCGGTAGTGGCACATACCTTTAATCCCAGCACTCAGGAGGCAGAGGCAGGTGGATCTCTGTGAGTTCGAGACCAGCCTGGTCTACAAGAGCTAGTTCCAGGACAGGCTCCAAAGCTACAGAAAAAAAACCCTGTCTTGGGAAAAAGGAAAGGAAAGGAAAAAGGAAAGGGGAAAGGAAAGGAAAGGAAAGGAAAGGAAAGGAAAGGAAAGGAAAGGAAAGGAAAGGAAAGGAAAGGAAAGGAAAGGAAAGGAAAGGAAAGGAAAGACTTCTTTAATTTTGGGACTAATCTGAGTGCAGGACTGGGGAGATAGATGGCTTGATGGCTTAACAGCTAAGACTACAGGCTGCTCTTCCAAGACCTGGATTCTGTTCCCAGCACTTGCACATTGGCTCACAAGCATCCGTAACTCCAATTCCAAAGAACTGATGCCCCTTTCTGAGCTCCATGGCGTGTACAAGGTATACATTACATCCAGGCAAAAACACAGATAGGAAGCAAAATAACACATTTAAAAGAACCTGTGTTTTTTTGTCTTTGTTTTTTTTAAAGCCATTTTGTAACAGGGCTGTCAAATTCAAACACAGATAATGGGGAAATTAGCATGCACATACACACAAGTACGGGGAAAAATCTATTAGTGACACATGCTTTCGAACATCTTGGAATGTTCTTCAAATATTCATATTCATCAAAAAAGCAAAACATTAAATTCAAAAAGAAATCAATTCAGCATCACATTTAACCAAGAAGCAAAGGATTATCTCACTATCTGATTTATCAAGAAAAAGTTAAAAACTCTAAAAACAAAATTGTCTAAGAAATAAATGGCACTTAAGATTAAGTCATCGGATCCATGGGAGTAGCAGCCTCTATTTTCCCCACCCTTCACACACCCGAGGGTACTGTGCGTGCGTAGAGTGCATGCATGGGCTCTCGTGCAATTTCCATGACATCCACACATAACAAAGAATTATATACATGGTCATAGTGCCATGCCTGTACAGATGCCTGGAACCAAATCTTTAATTTAGTCTAGAAATCCTGACAACCAGCAGCAATACTTGTCCATCCTGAAGAACCACCAAAGTATCTTATTCCAAAACTAACTGGCAGCCCTGGAAAAGCATCTAGGTGGCCATAATTCAGCAGTTAACCCACCTCTAGCCCACATCTCTCTACTGGAAACACTTGCACAGCATTCTGGCAACTTTCCACCTCAGGGACCAGGTGGCAGATTTCATAATGTATAGAAGTATGTTTAGGTACATATAAAATAAATGTACTACTTTACCAAAATGGTGAAATTAGAATATAGTAATTGATATCAAAAGCAGAAAAACATTGTATACTTACTCTGAAGAAGGACAAACACAGCTAACAACCATCACATTCTGAAATAACAAAAAATGATGACTTGATGAGTGAGAGAAAGGCACAGTAATACAACTGTTAGTAACTCGTTTGAAACTCTCACAATCACCCACATGGGTTAAGCGTCCATTTATTCCAACTGAAAGCAACTGGATAAAAACAAAACAAAACAACAAAAAAAAAAAACTAAGAGCAGTAAGACTTCAGGAGGGTCTGACTGCACGCTCACTGGCTTGCTTTAACATTTATCCTGTATGTCTGTGTGTCTGAGTTCAAGTCAGAGGAACCCTCCATCACATGGGTCTCAGAATCAGGCCTGAGAGATAGGTGATTTGATGAGGAGCCGAGCCACCTCAAAGGGTATGACCCCTACGTCCACTCCCCACCCGACCTCCTTCCTTTAAAGCCCTGGCTGGTCTGGAATTCACTATGTAGACCAGGCTGGCCAAGAACTCAAGAGAAGAACTTGCCTCTGATTCCCAAATGCTAAGATTAATGGCCTGTACTACCATGAGAGCCTGAAGTGTTTTCTTTTCTTAATTCCAATAGTTCTGATAATTTAAATCTGATAAATGGTATTACAATTCCTGGAAACTCACCAAGCTATACTGTGGATGAGAATGTTGGTTCACTTTTAATTCTTCTCTCTCTCTTTTTTTTTTAAACCATACTGGAACCCAGGCACTGGCGTATATGTAAAAGTAGGGCCTGTTTTCCATTTTCCTGTGCATGCAAGCACTTACATATGCAGGACCCAAATGCTTTTTTCAAAAAGATTTATTTATTCATTTCTTGTGTATACAGTATTCTGCCTGCGTGTACATCTGCAGGACAGAAGAGGGCACCAGATCTCATTACAGATGGTTGTGAGGCACCATGGGAATTGAACTCAGGACCTCTGGAAGAACAGCCATCTTTCCAGCCCTGATCCGAATCTCTTACACCTCATTCAGTAAGACAGAATCAGTTAAACCCAGAGCTGGATAGCCAGCTTGGCTCTGTGGATTCCCTGTCTCTATCTTTCAAAGCTGAAATTCATTACAAGCATGACAATGAACTAAAATGTGATGGCTTGTATGTGCCAAATCCCCAGTCTCTCTTCTAAAACCATTTTGAAATTCAAATATATTCAAGTGTATCTATAAAGCAATATTCAACCCGAGGAGAGATCAAACCCATTCTTTGGAAATCATACTTTTAAGGAAGGTCTCGTCACGGTCCGATCACTCCAATTCCAGAGAAAACATTTTGTTTAAATCCCTGGCTCACAGCACTGAGTTGGCAAACACAGGCAGTGATAACCTGTCTGTTCATCAAAAACTTCCAAAACACAATTACTAAGGGTCCTTAAGTTGCAGTACTGACGAACCCTGCAGCTTCCTTCCCTTCTGAATCTCACTAAACAGACAACATAAAGGATCAACAAAATATAAGACCCAAGAACTATACCAAAAATTCCAGTTAATGGTCTTGGACTCTGTTCCCAGAGTAAACGGAGTGATTTTAAAACAAAAAAAAATTGTAATATTTACTATGCTTTAGGATCAACTACCCTAAGAATTCATCATCTGTCCAAATATAGTTGAGCCAATTACTTGTCTAGCAGTGATTTAACGTTTTGATCATTTAAACACTTTTGACACTTTTGTGTATTACTTCATTCTCCAGAATGTTCTTTCTTTAGTAGCAGTACCCCACCAACCACAATGTGGATTAGATCTTTCTACTCAATATATCACTAACACGCTTTACACACAAGTTTATAAGGTCGTGTGCCTCTGAATTCCAGTGACATTTACAACTTACTGCTAACATCTTTCTGGTGGGTTCTTGTTTTGTTTCTAAATGCTTAACAACAACAACAACAACAAAATGTTTGCAAATAAAAATAAAAGCCAGGAAGTGGTGGCACAAGCCTTAAATTCCAACACTCATGAGGCAGAGGCAGACCTCTAGGTTTGAGGTCTGCCTAGTCTAGAGAATGAGTTCCAAGCCAGCCAGGGCTGCACAGAGAAACCCTGTCTCAGGAAGAAAAAGAAAAAAAAAAAAAAACCCAAAAATAATAAATTAGTAATTTAAATTATTTTAATGGAAAAATGAAATTGGCTAAGCAGCTTTCCTGAAACTTAAAATAATGGCTGTCTGGGGCCTCTTGGGCCTTTTTTCTGGTCCTGCCTATAAATTTCTCTCTGAAACATTGAATGTAATTTAGAAAACAATTCAGTAAACAGTCTATGAAACAACTCTTGTAACACTTTAATTCTTGTGATAGAATACATACCTTTTCTACTCCTCTGAGAAATTTGTCTGTTCCTGTATAATTTCTTCTTGGATCTGTTAGCAATTCACATAGTCGTTGAATAGTAAAAGGGATACTGCAAAAGAATAATTTTATAGTTGAGGTCATAAGTGTAAGAAGCTAGGAGCTGTGCTTCACAGTGAAAGCTTTATGGAGAGTCACCCTGTGTCAAGCCACAAAGAATAAATGCAGGAGTCACTTAAAGCAATACCAAGGAACACCGAAAACAATGTGTCAAAACTCATTCTGGAAAAAATTTAGTGCAATATTCTAAATTCTGACTGCTCAATTTGCACTTTACCAGAGGTAACACAATAATGCTTGTCCGTTTATTTACAAACAATGTTTCTTCAAGCATTCTAATGCACACAAACATTTTACTAAATATCATAAACGACTTTGTTACTGAGATCAAGTATGACAAATTAGTCTAACACTAAAGTATTTTAAATATGATTCTGCTCCCTTACCACTTTAAAGAGAACCTATAAATTTAGTCAAACTTATATTATTTTGGTAAGAATATTGGGGTTAACTATACCAAACACTTTTTACCAGAATGTAGTTTTCCCTTAATCACAGCAAATACAAAAGAGTAAAAATCTTGGAACAGTAATCAAAGAGTTTTGAAGAAACCAGAAAGATGGTTCAACAGTTAAGAGCACTGGCTGCTCTTCCAGGACTCAGGTTTAATTCTCAGGACCCGATCAAAGACCATCACCTGGTCTCCATGGGAACCAGGCACACGGGGTACATAAAGACATGAATGCAGGTAAAACAACCATACATAAAAAAGAATTTCTTTAAAGAAGGGTTTTGGCTCAGAGTAGTTAGCAATCATCAGAATTACAGCTCAGTGTAATGTTGTAAGCACTAGATGTGACAAATGCTGAGAAAAAAACACATGGAGTGAGTCTTTGGATATCAGTGTTTTCCATTAAAATCTACTTATGCAGCTTATGAAGAGAACTGCAAAGCCTCAGATTCACATAGAATATCATACAATAGTCTACCCTACAGCAATGTAGCTAGTGTGTAGCACACGTATCTGATGGAAATCACAGTAGTTCTTACTGGATAAACTACACTTAAAGCAGACTTTGTTTGCTTGTTTGTTTTGTTTTTGTTTTCCAAGATGCGGTTTCTCTAAGCTTTGGAGCCTCTGGAACTCACTCTGTAGACTAGGCTGACCTTTAATTCAAGGAGATCCACCTGTCTCTGCCTCCCAAGCGCCTGGCTTAAATCTCACTTTTTAAAAAAATCAGACAAGGTCTCATTTTTGTAGACCACACTGACCTCAAAGCTACCTCTTCCTATCATCACAACGATAAGTACCAGATGATATACCAAGTCTCAACTAATTATACTCTGGAAAGGGGAGAGAAGAATATAAGTACATTTTAACAAATAGATTCAATGGGCTAGAGATGGCTCAGCAGTTAACAGCACTTGCTGATCTTGCAAAGGACTTGGGTTTGGTCCAGCATTCACATGATGGTTCAAAACCATCTGTTAACTCCAATTCCAAGGAATCAGACCCTCTTCAAACCTCCATAGGTGCCAGGTGAAGATACATACGTGCAGAAAAACACTTTTCATATAATCTAATCTTTAGAACAAAAACAAAAAGAACCCACTCTCTCAGTCACATGAAAACAACCAGAATTAATGATAAAGCAAACAACAAGCCTATTTTAAAGCTATATGTAATCCAAAGGATAAAAACCAAATAAATGCTCTTTTACAAAAGTACAAACTAGTGCCTCAAATACAGACAGAAGTGATGCACACGTGCAGCACACACACAAAAACCACCACCCAGGTTCTCAGTGCACATCTGAAAACCTATCTGATTAGATGTCTTCCTCAGTCTTTTATAGCCTCATTTAAGAAAGTCAGTTATCCCTAGAACTTAACCATTCAGGTAATCAAAAACCAAAACACAAATCACACACACAAATGAAATCAAAAAACACCCCAAAACAAGCAAAAAATATTATTTTAATTTAATTTAAAGAAAATGAAAAAGTGAGTGGACACCTTGCAATTCAAAGAACAAACAAAAAACCAAAATGAAACAAACAGGGAGGGAAGAGAGGAAAGGTAAGAAAGGAAAATATGGAAAGAGATAAAAACTTAAGAGCCATTTGAGGGGTTCTGTGAAAACCCATAAAATAGAAGCTTAAAATATACACATATATGTAACTCTAAATGAAATCACAAAACAATGGGGGAGAAAAAAGCCCCAATTAGACATCTCTCGACACCAAATGAAGCCTCCAGTTCTAGGGACAGGTTACATCTCATCAAGTTGTTGGCCAAAGAAGCCCCATGGACACCCCCAAACAGCCAGGCCATTGGTTGCTCTCCACAAAACAATGCTAAGAAGACCCTATAGCTGAAAACAACACATATACTAATCACTGAACAAAGGAGTTGAACTGGCACTATCCAGACCCTTCACCCTTCAAAGAGCAAAAAAATACATACTCAAAACTTATTAAAATAATTTAGAAAATAATTCTGCGTTAAGATACTACAAAGTATTCAACTTACTGCCTTTAAAAAGCACAAAGCTGGGTGGTGGTGGCACACACCTTTAATCCCAGCACTTGTGAGGAAGGGCAAGAAAATCTCAGTGAGTTCGAGACCAGCCCGGTCTACAAAGGACAGCCAGGACTGTAACAGAGAAACCCTGTCTCAAAAAACCAAAGAATAAATAAAAACTAAACTAAAAGCACAGAAAAGCAATAAAACAAACAGAACAAGAATGGAGAAATGGCTCAGCAGTTAAGAGCACTGGCTGCTACTCTTGCAGATGACCTGAGTCTAATTTCAAGCACATACATGGCAGCACAAAACACCCATTAACTCCAGTCCTAGGGGATCTGATGCCTTACCCTGGCTTTTAAGGACAGACACTATGCATGCACATAGTACAGACACACATGCAGACAAAATACCCATACACAAAAGAAAAAAAAAGCTGGCAAAAACACAAGCAAAGCAAAAAGCAATTTAAAAAGGGGACTATTGACATATAAAAAATGCCATTTTCTTTTACAAAAGTACAAGCTGGAACCTCAAATGTAGACAAAAGAGATGTACACAAAACCCTGAAAACCATACACAGTAATACAAAACTACAGTAGCTATAGTTATTACAGAGGGTTTTGTAATAGGGCTAGTATGTAGCTGAGTGGTAAAGTGCAGACTTAGAATTTGCAAGGCTTCAATTCAATCTCCAGCAACACACACACATGCAAGCACACGTGCATGCGTACACATACACACACACAAGGAAAGAAAAAAAAATGGTTAACAACCTGTTTAAGTATGATATGCTCTTATCAACAAAAGATGGTTTGTACAATACACACTACAAACAAGCATGGCTCAATGCACTGTTGTACAACTTCACTTAAAAACAACAAAAAAAAATCTATGCAGGGTGGTGGTGGCACACACATTTAATCCCAGCACTCAGGAAACAGAGAAAAGCAGATCTTTGTGAGTTCAAGGGCAGCCTGGTCTACAGAGGGAATTTCAGGACAGGCTCCAAAGCTACAGAGAAACCCTGTCTCAGAAAACGATAGATAGATAGATTAGATAGATAGATAGATAGATAGATAGATAGATAGATAGATAGATAAAAGATGAGATGAGTATACTAATGAGAAGACCCTCAACTGGTGAACAGAGCTGGGGAGATAACTCATAAAGCGTTTGCTGTACACAGCACACAGACCTGAATCTAAATGCCTAGCATCCTTATAAAAGCTTGGATAAAACAGCACACATCTGTATCCCTAATGCTGGCAGGCAGAGACAAGTGTATTCCTGGGACTCGAACACTGGCTAGCCAATCTAGTCAATTAATGAACTCCAGGGCCAGGAAGCAATGGAAGAAGACAGTATGACAGAACGTATGGTTACCACGGGCACTGCACAGATGAGCGTGTGGCACATACTACACACTAATGTAATTAAAAAAAAAGTGAATGGAAAGCAAAAAGTATGATTTAAAAAAAAGTATGATAAAAAAAACAACAAAATCTTTATTCAGAACTTGAAAACAAAGACTGTCATGTTTCAAATCAGCGTATATAATAATAGACCAAAAAGGAAGATATAAAATGAGAATACATAATGTATCACTAATTAAATTTCAATTCTGCCTAATTAGAGTAAATAATCCAAACAGCCATTCTGAACTGGAATTGAAATACTTATGGCTCAAAGATGAAAAACACCTTAAGAGCAATTATGTTTAAGTGTGCTTACGCATTTAATGACTGTTCAAATCATTTAAAGGAGATGAATACACGTTTTAGCAGGTTAAGAAATTATAAATACTAACTTTATCTAATAACCTACTTATCTGATATCTAGTCTAGTAGAATTAATTATGAATATTTGTTCTTACTAATTTATAAATTAGCTCAATATTCAATATACAGTGGTATTTTAACTTCTATACATTTGGATTTTAACTTCTATACATTTGGAATATCTACTCCGTGTGTGTATACTATATGCAAGTATTCTACAAAGGAAATCTGTTTATGCTGCATACATCCAGTTCATAAACAAATTTTATGCAACATATAACACGTGGCTTCTTTCCCATATGTGTTTTTAAAGAGCCCTTGCTGGGTGGTAGTGGCATACACCTTTAATCCCAGCACTTGGGAGGCAGACACAGGTGGATCTCTGTGAATTTGAGGCCAACCTGGTCTACAGAGTGGGTTCCAGGAAAGGCTTCAAAGGTACAAAGAGAAATCCTGTCTCGAAAAACAAAACAGAACGACACAAAAAAGAAGCCTCAACTAAACTCATAATGAACAAGCATATGGTTAAATAACTAATGGGACAACGAAGTATCTTCCCAGACAAAAGTTTCAGTAACAGACCTAATGCCAGAGCATAAACTTCTGATTATTGTAGGCAAATTCCTAAGCTTAAAATGAGAATAATACGTTGAGAATGGTGGTGCACACATTTAACACCAACAGGAACCAACAGGGGATCTCTGTGCATTCAAGGCCAGCCAGGGCTAGATAGTAAGACCCTGTCTCAAACTGCAGCCCCTCCCCACAAAGAATATGGTTTATGGCATAAAAGCATACAATTAGGGCTTAGAGGGATGTCTCAGCAGTTAAGAGCACTGACTGCCCTTCCAGAGGACCAATGTTCAATGGCAGCTCACAACTGTAATTCTAAGACCCAACACCCTCACAGACATACATGCAGGCAAAACGCTAATACACATTAAAAAACAAAACAACAAAAAAAACATACAATTAAAACCTCTTCACTCGGCTGATGGTGGTGGCAAAGGCCTTTAATCTAATCCTAGCACTCGTAGGCAGAAGGTGGATCTCTGTGAGTTCAAGGCCAGAGTGGTCTACAAAAGCTAGTTCCAGGACAGGATAGGCTCCAAGGCAGAAAAAACCCTGTCTCGAAAAACCAAAACACCCTCTTCATTTAACACCTACCATTAAACAGGAATCTTATTACAAGAAACCCAATTCACTGTATCTCATAATGCTGTCTCATTCCTAGTGCCAAATGCAATATTCAACAAGTCAATTTCACAAACGCATTACTCCTTCAGGAAATATAAAGTTCTAAATTAGAACTTAATGACTAATGGGAAGCACAGCAACATTTTTAAAGTAGCACATTTATTTAGTGTTCCTGGTGTTTTCAATGTTTTACAAAAGATTAAGAATGTTTTAGTTATTGGGGGAAAGGCAGGTTCAAACTCTAAAACATATAAAACCTCTTACATATAATTAAGTCTTCAACAAATATCAAAAACAAAAAAAATATTTTCTGATAAATGAATGTTGCTGCTACCTTAATAAATGCATGTATAAAGTATGAATACCCCTGAAACTCATAAAACCAATTCAACTTTTTTTAACAAAGACTGTAAACATTTAAAAATAACTACAAGCCAAAAATTGACAAGTATAGCAAGGCGGGCGATGGTAGCTCAGGCCTTTAATCCCAGAACTCAGAAAGCAGAGGCAGGTGAATCTCTGTAAATTCAAGGTCAGCCTGGTCTACAAATGGAGTTCCAAGACAGCCAGAGCTGTTACACAGAGAAACCTTGGGGGGGGGGGGGGCAGGCAGGCAGGCAAGCACTAGAGATAGAGGCGTTAATAAGACATAGCAAAACTTAAAGAAATAACATCTACGATGTTAAAATTAAACCTTTAAAATATTATTAAGTGCATACCCATTAAATCCAGTGACAATTTTCAGTATTCTTTCCTTCATTTCATCAAAGGGAATATATTCAACATTAGGATTGGGAGGACCTCTTGGTTCAGGAGCCGAAGTTCTGAAATCATCCATCACTTTCTCCAGTTTGAAAATAAAATAACCTTTAAATTGGGACCACTGAATCCTAAAAAAGAAAAAAGTCAGAAAACATTAATAATTACCCTTGCAATTACTTTAAGCACAAACACAGACATTATAAAAATGCCTCATAATTTCCACATTATAATGCTTATATGGACTAGGAAAGTCTTTTACCATTAAAAATACAGAATAAGACAGACAGTAGTAGTGCACACCTTTAATCCCAGCACTCAGGAGGCAGAGGCAGGAGTTCAAGGCCAGTTCCAAGACAGGCTCCAAAGCTACAGAGAAACCCTTTTTTGAAACCCCCCCCCAAAAAAAAAAAGAAGGAGGAGGAGGAGGAGGAGGAGGAGGAGGAGGAGGAGGAGGAAGAGGAGGATAAGAAAGACAGAAAAAAAGGTACAGAATAAGCCACGTTTGGTGACATGTATCTTTTAATTCCAGCCCTTGGAGGACTGTGTCCTAAGGTTTCTATTGCTGTGAACAAACACCATGACCACAGCAACTCTTATAAAGACAAACATTCAATTGTAGTGGCTCACTTACAGTTCAGAGGTTTAGTCTGTAAAGGAAACAAGGCAGTTGATGCAGGCAGACATGGTGCTGGAGAGGGAGCTGAAAGTACTACAGCTTTTGCGGACAACAGAAGTGGTCTGAGTAAAGCTTGCACATCTGAGACCTCAAAGCCTGTATCCATAGTGATACACTTCCTTCAACAAGGCCTCATCTCCTAATGATGCCACCCCCTATGATCTAATGGGGGGGTTTACATTCAAACTACCAAACCGAGGCCAGTCCTGACTACGAAGTTCTAGGCCAATCAGGGACCACACAGTGAGATCTTGTCCCCCAAAACAACAACAACAACAACAAAAAACAACAACAAACCCAAAATAACTAAGTTCTTTTCCTCCCTCCCTTTTCAGTCATTGTCATTTGAGATATTCAGAGTACTGCTACCAGTCTATCACTCAACAAGTAAGGTGGAGAAAGAAATCATAAATTTCAACATAATCCTTTGAATACAAAAAAAAAAAGCTACACATACACACAGGCATACAAACATGCACACACACGAGAAAAAATAACAAAGTACCCTATTTTTTATCTCTATTCAGTGCTGGGTAGCAAGTTTCTCCGAGATAAAATGCTAACACTGAGGACCTTACTGCAACCCATCTTCCCCAAGCTCACAGTAAGAACTGCTGGTCTCTCTCTCTCTCTCTCTTTTTTTTTCAGTGTGTGGGTGTTTTGCCTGAATACTTGTGGCCAAAGAGGCCACAAGAGTGTGGCATTTCAGACAGTTGTGAGTTGTAATATGGCTGTGGGAATCAAAACCCAAGTCCTGTGGAAGAACAAGTGCTCTTAACCACTGAGCCATCCCTCCAACTTCCTCCCACTCGCAGATACTTTAAAAATTACAGAAAACAGAGTATTAATTTGCTGTATAGCAGCCTTATAAACCAATTGTGATTCAAGAGGTTTGAATCAGGAATCTTCACTGTGATGGCAGCACTGAAAGCAATGGTAGATGGAAATGATAACCTAGCAGCAATCCAGAAGCAGCACCAAATCACACTAACATTACTATCAGAACTTCAGTTTGTTTTGCTCTGTGTTTTAAATCTGGAGCTAGAGATGTAACCCAATTGGTAGAATGCTCACCTAGCATAGATAGTGTGCCTTGGAGCTTGATCCCTAGCACCACATAAATTGGGCATGGTGATTTTATGACTGTAATCTGAGCAGTTGTGAGATGGGACAGATCAAAATTCAACAAGGTCAGCATGGGCTAACATGAGATAAGCCCCTCCACCCTTTTTCATTTTAACAACCCACAACATCAAGGTCAAGACCAATTAAAAGGTTCTGAGGAAGAATAAGTGATTGATTCCTGCTACTCAAGAGGCTGACACACTGGAGGACCACTTGGTCAGACTGTCTCAACATAAAATTTCCTGAAGAAACAGGAAGATCCATGATCAACAAAATTAGTTTCAAAAGACTTTGGATAGTAAATAGAAAATTCATGACCGAGATTTTTGTGTTTATATACAGAACCTTCAGGAGGATCAATGTAGGTTCAGAACTGTTGACAGGAGGAATCCAGGACAAAGTTGGCAAAGTTGAAATAAGCTAGACCTGAAAAGGATAAAGCCAGTAGTACAAGAATAAAAATGTCAACAAAGAAAATTTCTCATACTCAGCTATGCCGGCATCATGGGTCACAGAATCATGTTTTATGACAAGCTGCTCTATGTGGCTGCAGCATGGCCAACCACTATCCACGTGTGCCAGGAGCACCAGCCACACTCCTTAGAAGGAACAATCAACAGTACCTCCAGACATTACCAAATGAATTGCCACTAGGTAAGAACCACAACTCTTTAATCCCTTTTGCTGAGGACTACAATAAAAAATGAAACTAGAAAACCCAGAACCTCAAACCCAATTCTCACAATGAGACAAAAGGTTTACTTAAAAACAGTCTAGCACTGTGACCGTGGAGGGTAAACATCCAGGTTAGTCTTGTTAGCAGCTGTGCCTTAGGCAACACCACAAGCAATGTCACTATGAAACTGTAACCCAAAATAAATCCCTTTTCCTTCCAGTTGCCTGTGTCAGGACATTTTATCACAGTAATAAGGAGTCACCAAGACAAGCAGCACACAGGAAGATGTCTACAGGTTGAACATAATAAATATTAAGGAACTTAAACATGATTTGGTATCAGCAGGGCTTCTATATCCATACCCTGAAGGCAACAAGGGATGACTATCATTTTGCAAATTCAAAGAGCTCACAAGGGTAACTGAAAGCAGCCATCCTAAGAATAGACAAGACAGATCTGTATCAAGGCACAATATAGAGAAAGTGCATTAACTGAGCAGTGGTAGCGCAAGCCTTTAATCCCAGCACTCAGGGAGGCAGACATAGGTGGATCTCTGTGAGTTCGGGGCCAGTCTGGTCTACACAGTAAACTCCAGGACAACCAGAGATACAGAGAAACCAAACCCTACCTCAAAAGACAAAAATAAACAAACAAACAAACAAATAAATAAGGAGAAAGCACAGAATCTCAGAACCAAAGAGAAAAACATCAGACTTATTAAAGTTGGTGTCATAAGAGCAATAGGAAACCATCTTTAAAATCTGAAGGATGAGAATTTTTTTAACTATATGCCCAAACTATTCATCAAGTAGGACAGCAACAGTAACAAATTTTCAAACAATAAAGGCAAAATTAACCAGTTTGCTGCCAGGCCGTCCCTCACCCCACGAAATCAAGCAAACCAAGAAAGGATGGCACAGTGTCTAGAAAATGAAGATCACAAATAAATCACAATTAGAAAGAGGAAAATCCCTCATTAAAAGAACTATGATCTTGGTGGTAAGATGTGAAGACTCCTATCTTTATAACTTATAACATGGTAAAATTAAAAATCTATGGGCAATCAATTTCGAATAAACAATCAAGAATGGCTCTCTGGGCTAGCAGGATGACTCAACAGGAGAATGTGCTTATTGCTAAACCTGATGACCTGAGTTCAATCCATGGAACCCACACTGTAAGAGAAACAAACCAAGTTGTCCTCTGACCTCCATGGGCACTGTCACACATATGTTCATCACTCCCACACAATTTAAATTTTAAATGTTTCTTCATCACTGGAGGCCCCCGACTGTAAATCTATCAGAGGAAGTCTTGTCTCAAACATCTACAAGGGAGCTGCTTGGGCCAGCCCCCTTACAAAGGCCACACAAGTCAAGGGACAACACAGAAACAGCCTATCCACCTAACACCGACTAAAAGAGATCTAATCATGGCTCCTACTTGCATTCTGTTTATACTTGTATCAACAGCGGCATGTTTCACTTCAAGATTGAGGTATTAAAACAAAGAGTGAGAGGAGACATGCTTGGCCTGTCTGGCAGGAATGAATATACTTACTCTAAGGCAGTACTCAAGTCAGTGGTTTTAACCTATGAATCACAATCACTTTGGGTATCCGATAGCCCTTTCACAGAGGTCACCTTAGACCATAGGAAAACACATATTTATTACCTTATGATTCCTAACAGTAGCAAAATTACAGTTATAAAGCAGCAACAAAAGTACTTTTATGGTTGGGGTCACCACAACATAAGAAATTCTATCAAAGGGTTACAGTATTAGGAAGGTTGAGGATCACTGCACTGCTCTAAGCAAAGATATATATGCACCCTTCTTTAGCTGTCAGACTATTTGACACTTGCTGTTCTTGCACTCCCATTTCTGCTCACAACCACCTGTAAATCCAGTTCTAGGAGATTTGATATGCTCTTCTGACCTCTAAGGGCCTCTTATGACTTCAGAAGTACCAGGAATGCATGTGGTGTACATATATATACATACAGGCAAAACACCCCACATGTTACTTCCCAACTTATTTCTATTTATTTAAAAATAAAGAAAATATGACAATCAGTATAGAAAATAAGGGGGAAATGATCACTCAGGTTTGTCAAACTCTAGTGCGAGTTATTATTACAGTACTTGATGAGGGAAACACATTTATGTATCTCACATTCCCAAAAGTCTGACTCCCCCAGGATTTCCACTGAACTCACCCTTATTCTTCACTCTCTTCAATACAACTCTTAATGTCACATCCATTGACCTCTCTTCCTATTTCTTTTCTAAAACTGAAGCATAGGGAGAATGCCCAGCTACTTTCTCATATTCACCTCCTGATGAACAATCTATATGCTCACCTACACACAATAATAAACAATCTATATACACATCTTCCTGGTACATTATCCCACCTCTCCTTTTTCCCATCTTCATGATTTTTCTTTATTCCCCCCCTTTTCTAGATCTAACCTCATTTCTTCATTGTCCTATAGAGAAAAAGTCCTAGTGATAGCTCCCAGTCAGACTTTTAGTTCTAGCACTAAATGTAATTAATTGTCCCTATCGAGACCATCTGTGACCTCCATGCTGCTGCATCCAGTGGTCAACTCTTCTCACACCTTAACTTCCCCCAGGAGCATTCTGAA